TCTGCCTGTGTAATTGTGCCCCATGTTGGATGCCAAATATAGTCAGATTTCTTTTAATTATCCTTAACAGTTTACTTATTAGCTTTTCTAAGACTAGGACTTGCTGGAATACAGCTTGTGCTCATGTAGTGGGGGAGCCTAGAGGCTACCATTGCCTTGACAAGTTAATAGATACCACAGCCATGTGTTAATGGAAGGACCACAAGTTCCTTTTGCCAGAGATAAGGAGAATGACTCTCTTTTTTAGCAATCAGGAATTTTCTTCAAGCCTCCAAGGGAATGTGGGCTTTGTCTAATGCCTGGCCTTGGGAAAAGGACTTTATAGCTTTATGTCTGTTAAGTTTGAGACTTAAAAAAACAACAAATTTTTATTTGAAGCTCCTTTTAGTATCAACATAAAACTTTTAACTCATAGACACAGTCCACAGAGAGACTGGGAAATTTTCTGTCCCTTTTATAGTACAGCATTATGGAATATAACAGTTACTCATGATTCAGTTTATCAAAATAGGTGAAGTGTAACAAATTTAGCAAAGATAAGGAGGCTAGACATACATTCTTAAGCATGAATAGACTTTAGGTAGGGAGAGACATTCTCTGAGCCAGTGGTTCAACTTCCCAATGCTTCATTCAACCCTTTAATACAGTTCCCTATATTGTGGTGTCACCCCAACCACAAAATCATTCCTGTTGTTATTTCACAACTGAAATTTTGCCACTGTTATGAATCTTAATGCCAACATCTGACAGGCAGGTGGTCGTAGGCTTTCCTTATAAATAGGTCTTTCAATCCCCTGAGGGTCAAGACTCATAGGCTGAGAAGCTGCTCCAAGTTCTTTGCCAGATCATTGTTTTGCTGCATCATAAAATAGAAATATTCCAGTTTCTGGTGTTTGGTTATTTGGTGCTCATAGCTGTAGGCTTAATTTTTAGCCTTTTATTTACTTTTAAGTTAAAATATTAATAATATATAAACATTTTAGAAACTTAAAATGTATAGTTTTATAAATTTAAATATTTAAAAACTTCCTTTAAAAAATCCAGTTTTTAAATTTTCTGTAAAACTCTAAAATTTCCTCCTTAAAAAAATTTAAAATCTCTGAATTGTGTGTTCCTGCAATATTAGAAATTAAGTATTCCCCCCCCCTTTTTTTTTTACTTCAAGAGGGAGAAAACAGGGCATAATGGAAAGGACCAAGCAGATGCCATAACAGGCTGGTCAGTCTTCTCTCAGAGCAAAGTACATTCTTGCATATAACAACATGGAGGTGCAGCTTTAACACACTATTAAAAAGCATTGTTTTTAAATCCTATCTTTCATAAACCTTGTTTTAGGACAGGACATGTATTGTCATACAAAAATACATCCTAATGGAAAATATCTTGGAAACCCGTTGTTGCCTTCTTGGTAGGCCCACTCCTCATGGTCACCTTTAATCAAGTTGGCAGTGAAATCACATGACATATGTCTTCTGTAACCCTAACAAAAATGGCTACCATCTATGTGGCTGCCCAAACACTGTGAAGTCACATGACATCTGCCCTCTCCAACCCTAGGAAAGATGGCTGCCAGACATGTGGCTGTCCAAAGATGGTGGCCGTCCATGTGTGGGTTTTATCACAGAATGGAATTGTGCCACATGGTTCCTTTAAATTTACCCATGCATAGATTTTTAACTATCAACTCCCAGTGTTACCAGTTTTTTGTTTTTTTTTTTTGTTTTTTTTTGGTTTTTCGAGACAGGGTTTCTCTGTGTAGCTTTGCGCCTTTCCTGGAGCTCACTTGGTAGCCCAGGCTGGCCTCGAACTCACAGAGATCTGCTTGGCTCTGCCTCCCAAGTGCTGGGATTAAAGGCGTGCGCCACCACCGCCCGGCTAGTGTTACCAGTTTTAAGTTAACTTTTTTCATAGATTTTTAGATTTTAACCATATCCAACAAAATAAACTTATAAATCTCAAGGTACAGATGTTCACACAAACCAAGTTTATCTATTTTGTCTGTTCTGCTTTTCTGTCTTTTCCCTGTCACTGTGCCAGGTGGCTCAGACTGACACAGGACGTAGAGGAAACTTTTAAATATACTTGGGTCTACTGAAGGGAGAGCCATAAACCAACTCTAGAGTCAGCTTTCAAATAAAATAGAATAGGATAAAACAATTTTAATGTTATCTACAACAAAAAGACATCCAAACTCCTGCTAACTCAGATCCATCGACCAGAGAGCTCAGAGATAAATTGTGAGCCCTGGCCACAAATGCAGTCATGTGGTGACTGGAAGCTGGCACACAGAGATAGCAAAAATATCTGAACCATTTCTGTCTCAGCTCCATTCTTGCAACAAAACTTATGAACACACCAGAAAACAAAGACAAAACTTTCCAACAAAACAGGGAGACACAACTTTCCAGAGAAACAGACAGATAAAACTTTCTATGGGATACAAAAACTTTCCAACCAGAATTAGATAGGTAGGCAATGTCTAGCTATATGCCATGGATGGGAGAACATTGGTGTCCTGTTGAACCCCCTCCACATCCCAGATAGGGATCCCACAGAACAGAACCAGACTATGACTTACCAGGAGGCCTCCGTAGATGTTTGCTGCATTTTCGGGATGGCAATTCACTCTTGGTAGTCCACAAACTGAAGGCAGCCTCGGAGTCTTGGAACATCTCAAGCCTGAAGAACCCCTCTGTAGTCAGAAGTTTTCTCCATCTCGCCCAGGCCCATACCTGCTCAGACCCAAGTAAACACACAGAGGCTTGTTTTAATTATGAACTGTATGGCCCATGGAAGGCTTATTACTGACTAGCTCTTACACTTAAATTAACCCATAATTTTTGTCTATGGTTAGCCAGTGTCTTGGTACCTTTTCTCAGTTCTGCCTTGTCATCTTGCTTCCTCTGTGTCTGGCTGGCGACTCTTCTGCCTCTCTCTTTCCTGTCTCTCTCCTTGGATTTTCCCACCTGCCTCTAAGCTGCCTTGCCATAGGCCAAGCAGCTCTATTTATTAACCAATGGTAACAGCATATGTTCACAGCATACAGATGGACATCGCCCAGCACTCCTCCTTTTCTATCTAATCAAAAAGGAAGGTTTTAACTTTAACATAGTAAAATTACATATAATAGAACAGGTATCACGCAAGAATTACAGTTACAATATCTAGTCTACTTGTATTTGGTAAAATTAAAGAAAATATTTTATCATTTATCCTATATTTGTAAGTCTAAAGTTTCATATCTAATTTGTCTTTTATCATAACCAAGGAAAATTATAACTATCTAGTCTTCAACTACATCAAAGACCCCAGAAGGTTATAATATTACCTAAGTAAACAGGAAGAGCATTGTAAGCAACTTCCAAAATCTAGAATGACAGAGATAGCTGGCTACAGGGACAGTCCCTTGTTCTGGTGTGAAGGTCCAGCTTTAGAATTTGGGGGTGGTCTGAATCTCACTAGGGGCCTCCAGCAAATGTTAATTCCACCAATCAAGAATAAGACCACTACCACAGTTTAAAGCCAAATTTGAAGCAAGCTTTAATTAAATACTGGCCAGTTCTATACCCAGGTTCCCAAGAAATGGCCCAGAATCAAGTATGGCAAGGGATTAATAAGGAAAACCTATAATTCATTGCATTTCCCAACAGGTCCAATCAGGAACAAGCACACATCCTGACATGTTTCCTACCTACGTACCTCCTGGCCACATGTGATCAAAAACATCCAGCGCAGATGGGTCAAACAAACTTGTTTAGGGAGTGAAAACATGTGACTTGTATCTCCTATGAATAGCCTGCAGCATTTCAGGAACTATCTGTCCTTGGGCAAGGGTCTTACAGATCAGAGGCATTTTTGTTTCATGCATCACAAAGGCACAGTAATTAAAACTTAAAATGTAACACTGGCTCTCACAACTGCCTCTAATTTTTAATACTTTTCTGCAACCTTTTTACATTACTTTTTATTTTTATTTTTTTTTGTGTGTGTCTAAGTGCTTTGCCTGAAGATATGTATGTGTATCACATGTGTGCCTGGCGCCTGTGGAAACCAAAAGATTCTGATTTCTTAAGAACTGGAGTTACAGGGGTTTGTGAGCCACTGTGTGGGTGCTGAGAAGAGAGTCCAGGTCCTCGACAGGAGCAGCCAGCCAGCCAGCACTCTTAAAGATTCTGAGCCATTTTTGCAGCTCCCACTTTTTAATTTTTAAAACACTGCGCTTGGGAATTATTTATCCCAATTCCTGAGGTTTTGGGTGTGCCGGTACATGCTGATCCACAAGAGTGCCTCCTCCAGCTTGGCAAGGAGCTGAAATTTTCTTACCGTAGTGGACCCGCGCAGTGCCTGCATATCTTGAACACTCTGGCTCTCCTTGTGCAACACAGACCTGCCCGCAGTTTTCTTCCAGAACTCTAGGATATGGGCAGTGGAGGTACACACCCAGAACACAAGCGCCCTGGCTCCCCAGCCCTTCACCTAACTCGCCCCTCTTCAGAGGCACTAGGTGGGTGCAGCATCTTCTAGATTGGACTGGAGCATATGTAGGCAATGAGGGTGTGCTTTTTGGTTTGGGAGGGTGGTGGGAGGTGGCCAGCTGAAGTCTGGAAAGTTGTAAAGCCTTTTCCTAGACAGGAAAATTCTCGGGTGGAGGGAGAGGGGAGGGGTGTGGGTGGAGGGGTGGGGAGATGGGCGGGGCAGAGCCCTAGTGGGCGGGGTAGGCGGGTGTAGGGTGTAGTTGGGCGGTTGGCACAAGAGTGGACCCGGCTCTTGTGGGCGGGGTGGGGCGAGGCTGGTGGGCAGAACAGAATTTGGGTCTACAGAACAGGATACCGTGGACTCGGTGGGGTGTAGTTGGGCTTTCTAGTGGGGTGGGATATGGCGGAGCTGAACAGGTTGTGGGTGTCCGTTCAGGTCCTGGGTGAGCGAGACAGGATGCAGGTGGGCGAGGTGGGGCGGGACAGGGCTCAGGTGGATGATGTGGGATGCGGGTGAGTAAACAGGGTCGCGGTAGGCGAGGCAGGATGAGGTAGAGTAGAAGGTGGGCGGGGTCGATGGCCTGGCTCTGCTTCTGGAGCTGGGCACCCCGCTGTGCTGTCACGGCTGTGGCCACAGCTTCTGGAGTAGCCGGTGTCTGCTAGCTCCTCCCGTGGGCTCAAGGTGCGCTGCTCGGCGGGAGGCGGGGCTGCGAGGCGCCCGGTACTGCGCGAGGCTCTGCGTGCCCTGCCCATAGACGGGTGGCAGCACAGCCCCGGGGCTCGTCTTTTCGGGGTGTCCTCCACAAGCCGGGCTCCGGGGCGATGGTGGACGTGCTGAGCGGGCGGCGCCTGGTGACCCGCGAGGGCGCGGTGGTGGAGGCGGAGGCGGCGCTGCAGAACAAGGTGGTAGCTCTGTACTTTGCGGCCGGCCGGTGCTCGCCCAGCCGCGACTTCACGCCGCTGCTCTGCGACTTCTACACGGAGCTGGTGAGCGAGGCGCGGCGGCCCGCGCCCTTTGAGGTGGTGTTCGTGTCCGCGGACGGCAGCGCGGAGGAGATGCTGGACTTCATGCGGGAGCTTCACGGCGCCTGGCTGGCGCTGCCTTTCCACGACCCTTACAGGCAGTGAGTGCACACCCAGGGGACGGGGGCACAGGGCTGGAGCTCTGACTCCCCCGGACCTCCTCTACTGCACCTTGCTGCTCTTTCAGACTCTGGTCCTTAACTTCCTACCCCCACTTTTTCCCTCTTCAATTCCCAATGCGGGCCAATTCCATGGAGTCTTGGTTTCAGCATCCACGGGGATCCGGCCAGCTAGGATTTCAGTCTTTTCACGATTAGGGTTTCAGAGATCTGCACGTCTCAGGAGCTCTGGGGCTGGTCCTGATGCTAACTGGCATCCCTTAGCTAGTCTTCTTGATAAGTGCAGGAGGAAGGGCTGGAAGCCACCAACTTGAGAGTGGGAGCTGTTCATCCCAACCTGTGTCCACAGAGCTGCATTGGGGGGGGTACTCTGGGAAAGGGGGGGCTGAGAGCAAGAGGAACCAGGTGCTGGCCATCTTTGTGATTTCATTTTTTACCTACAGCAATGAAGTTCCCCAACTATAACGTGTGATTTTCAGTAACATGAATGCTATCGCAACACATGTAGGAGTACTGGGAAAGAGCAAGGCATGGCTGGGTACGTGGCCAGCGTGGTGCTGGTGGTGCTGGTGGTGCTGGTGGTGCTGGTGGTGCTGGTGGTGATGCTGCTGGTGGTGGTGGTGGTGGTGGTGGTGGTGGTGGTGGTGATGCTGATGCTGGTGGTATCTCCTGTGGTGGAAGAGTCCAGATGGAGGTCTCATAGTACACGCCCCCAGCCCTGCCTCCTTCTAGAACACATGTCAGTTTCTGGGTATCCTCTGATTCTGGGTCTTGGGCTTGTTACCCGGCTGCAGCACTACCTGTGAGTCCTTTATGGAAAACGAAGCATAGCCAACTTTGCTACATCCTGTAGATTCATAATAACTAGAAGCCTCCTGATTCTGTGTGTGTTTTGGGGGTGAACTTGTGAGTGCATGAAAGTAGAGCTCAGAGGACAACCTCTGCTGTTATTCCTCAGATGCCATCCACCCTGTGTTTTGAGACAGGGTCTCTCACTGTCCTGGAAATCACTAAGTTGGCTAGGCTGGTGGGCCAGTGAGCCCTAGAGATCCACCAGTCTCTGCCAACCCCCACCCCCACCCCCGTTCTGGGATTACAGCCGCACCAGCTTTTTATGTGGTTTTGAGGTCTGACTCTATGTCCATAAGCTTGCAAAGCACTTTACTGACTGAGCCTTCTCCCCTGATTTTCCTAAACTCATTCTCTCTGGTGGTTCCCAGGGAGGTGGGGCACCCAGGGGATGCTGCTTAGCCTTGGAGGCTGAGGCTTCAGTCATGCCAGTACCAAGACACTCCTGTCGATAGTAAGTCTAAGTGACAGCTGAATTACCTTTGCAGAAGGACTCACTTGAGAACCGCTTCAAGTGCTGTGCTTTGAAATGTGGTTTGACTTGATGGCAGGCACTCAATTATACGGAGCTTTTGAAAGGACACACTTGTTTTGCAGTTGAGATGGTGACGGTGTTGATAATTAGACAGCAAGTTCAGGTTCCCACCCCTCTCCCCCAGAGAATAGGGCTCTGGGTTGCCCATGAGGATAGTGAGAAAGCGGTTTCATGGCTGAGTAAAGAGATGCGTGAAGAATGGGGTTGACCTAGTCTGTGAAAGGGCTTCTATAATCATACTTTTCTAATTGCTGTCACAAAATAGTTGACAAGTGACTTAAGGGAACCTGGTGGGGGGTGGCTCAGTAAGAGTGCAAGTATGAAGACCTGAGTTCAAATCCCCAGCACTTAAGTTAAAACAAAAACTAGACATGGTGGCATGTACCTATAACCCCAGCCACGGATGAGTAGAGTCAGCCAGATCCTGGGAGCTCACTGGCCAGCCAGTCTAGCTGAAATACCCAGCTTTAGTTTCTGTGAGAGAACCTATCTCGAGAGACTAATGTGGAGAGTAATTAAGGCACCTGTCGTATACCTCTGGCCTCTGCATACGCAGGCACAGCCCCTTCCCCACGGAATAAAAGAAACTTAAGCGGGGAGGGTTGTTCTGAGTTCACAGTGTGAACGTAGTCTGTTTCTGTGGCAGAAGCATGAGGAGGTTGGTCTCTAGGTGTCTGCAGTCCGGAGCCGGAGGGAAAGGAATGCTGTTGCCGAACTTACTTTGTGCGTTCTTTCAGTCCAGGACCCCGCCCATGCAGTGGTGCCTCCCACAGTTAACGGGGTTCTTTTTACCTCAGTTAACCCAATCTAGAAACCTCCCACAAACTTGTCCAGAGGTTTGTCTCCTAGATGAGTACAGGTCCTGCCAAACTGACAATCGATATTAACCATCCCACAGTGTCAGCTGGTGACAGATCAGCATGCTGGTCTATTGCCCTAATTCCCAGATGTGCCACTGAGGCATAGAGTCCAGTTCTCCTGGGGTCTACCTCTGTGCCCTGGCTGATGTTCTTTCCTGGGGTGATTAGCTGCCCTATCTGTACACCGACTCCCTGGAGAAGGGTGTAGCTTTCTTTCTTCCTTCCTCACCCATCTGCTCCAGAGTCTTTGTGCACCAGGTGAAGACAAGTGGGCCTTTGTGAGCACAGGTTGGCCTGGCTTTCCTGGGCCTCATTTCCAGAAGGATTTTCCTTTTGCAAACAATTATCTGTCCTTATCATTCCTTAACCTCGATGTTGCTTTATGCAAACCAAGAAGTAGAATATTCTGAGGGGATGCTAAGTCAGCTAGAATTTGTGGAATCAGATCATGGTCCAAAGGGAAGGGGCCACCACTCGGGAGAAGTGAGAACTGAGTGGGACATCCAGGAGGTGCTTGAGGAAGTTGCTCTCTGCTGTAGGGGGCAAGGCAGGACAGGGAGATCATAGAGGCCCCAACTGGGAAGTGAACCTGGAAAGGACCCATGTGTAGCTTTCCCTCAGAGGTCTCCATTACTACTGTCCTTCAATTCCTGAAGAGACACCTGAGGATCCCGAGACTGTCATGGCATGACTGGAGGCTGGTGGCCCTGTAGGAAGGAAACACCTCGAGCCCTTACCTTGCCCTCGGAATTATGCGGTTGCATTCCAGTGTCGCTCTATCTCCTAACACAGCAACAGATACTGTGTTCAGCCCAGAGAAATAAGTTCTGGGTGCTTGTCTGGAGCTGTCCCTCTGCCCAGATGTCCCTCCCAGTGCAGGTGACCAAGAAGAGGACCCATCTTAGCATGAGAATGACTACAGGGGCAGGTGCCCATGCTCCATGTAGACGTTTTCTCAGAGTGAGGGTTCCATCGTATCCCATCCTCTGTGACTGAGTTTATCTGTCTAGGAAGAGATCCTCCTGCCTCTGCCTCCTGAGCAGAGACATTCCAGGCATGCATTACCTTACATGGCAGCACCAGGTCTCAAAGCAGCTGCAAGCATTTATGCTATAGGTTGCCACTCCCAAGAGGATCCTTGAAGAGCTTACAGTGACCTCCTTACAATGCTGGCACTCATAGGCTGGGATGTGGGCAGATTCCAAGGTGCCTAGCAGGCATCTTCCCCTCGTACCAGTCCAGCCTCTGATCTGCCTTCTTAGGATATGGCTGGGTGTTAGGGAACCTTTCCTGCCAGCTGACCTGTTTGGAGTTTAGGAAAGTAGACCAACCTGGACTTCATTTCTTGGGTAGACAGTGGCTTGGGCTCTCTAGGTCTCCCAGGTCCCCACTTCACTGACTCCTGGATCCAAGGCAGCTCTTGCCTGGCCCAGCCTTGTCCCATGTCCTTTTTAGACGAAGTCTTGCAGTCTCCTTATGTTGCCCAAGCTGGTCTCAACTGCATGAGCTAAGGTAATCTCTCTGCCTCATCCTCTTGAGTAGCAGGAACTACAGGCTACTTGAGTTTTGGATTGTTGTATTTATAGTACTACAAGAGTTTGATTGTATCTTCAACTTGAGATTTATATAGTATGGCTATCCCTTGGTATCTGAAGGGAATTGGTTCTTGTATCCCCTGTGCGTACTGAAACTAAACCGTATTCACATCCCTATATAAAATGGCAGAGTTTGCATAGAATGCACACACAGCCCTTCCTTTCAGACCTGCAGCAGTGTTAACCCTCTGCCCTCTGTCCTCAGTGAACTGAAGAAGAGGTACGACATCACAGCCATCCCCAGGCTCGTGGTCATCAAGCAGAATGGAGCCGTCATCACCAAGAAAGGGCGGAAGCAGATCCGGGAGCGCGGGCTGGCTTGCTTTCAGAACTGGGTGGAAGCAGCCGATGTTTTCCAGAACTTCTTGGGGTGAATCTGGAGAGACCAGGGCAGGTGCTTGCTACAAGTGCAGGGCAGATGCCTTCCAAGAGGGAGTTACCAGTTTTCTTCTCTGTTGATGGATTTCGTAGTAGAGGCACTGGAGCAGGCCAGAGGATAGACACTGCTCAGGAAAGAACTACGCCCTCCCTCCATGGGTCCTAGAGTTCCTTTGGAGTGCACTTTTGTTTCTTATAGCTTTCTCCACCTGTGCCTAGGCTCCAGGACACATCAACAGTGTGCTATCAGAGATCTATGCAAGATGCTCATTCCTTCAGGCTTCTTCGATAAATTGATCTATGAAGTGATGCATTTTCTGATGACCTGTCACATTTTAGAGATGCTTTGGTAAGCATATTTATTAATCAAGTTTGTAGACTGTGTAGTTTAATAAACCAACATTCATACCTTGAGCAGCTTGATGTTTTTCTTTTTCCTTCCAAACCAAGTACCAACAGAGGGACAAGTCAGTAAATACCATGCTTAAGCTGTCCATTCATCCGAGGGGGTGTTGTAACTGCACCTTGTCTTGGAAGATTTTTCTAACCTTTGTCTCTTCTTTCTTCCTCCCTCCCTCCCT